AGCAACTAAGCAAGATCCTGTCTTAGAATAATGATGTAGTCCAGGGTACAGCACCTCTGTCTGGGTTTGATCCCCAGTACAGGGGGTGGAAGATAAGGAATGGGATGACAAACTTGTTTTTCTTGATTTATATCACTCTATCCTGAATTATTTTTAAAGTTTCACTTGCTGCCTAAGTAATTGTTATTCTCCCTCCACAGAATCTGTTACACTGACTTTGATTCCTGCAAACCCCCAGCTCATATCATCAACTGTTCTCTTAACCCATAGCACCAACCCACTTTCAATTTAGATACTTGGGTACAAAAATTTCATACAATAAACACTCTTTGAGTGTGGGTACCCAAGACTAAGCACAATTTTAAAGATACTAAGAAATTTCTTCTTCAGTCAGAAAGCATATTGGAATACCAGTGAGAATATTATTACAGGGAAACCAAGGATCTGCTGTAAATTTAAAAATCAATCAATAAAAAAGGCAAACTGCCAGGGCTGGGGTTGTGGCTCAGTGGTAGAGCGCTTACCTAGCATGTACGAGGCCCTGGGTTCGATCCTCAGCACCATATGAAAATAAATAAATAAAATAAAAGGTATTGTGTCCAACTACAACTAAAAAATAAATATTAAAAAAAAAAAAAGGCAAACTGCCTACAAATTTCGGAATTTCCATCAGTTGTGGGAAACTGGTGGCTTCATCTCTCAAATGAAGGCAAGAAAGTTGTTATCTCCTCAGCTCATGTGGTATGGCAAAAGCCCACTTTTCCTTGCTTTGTCTTTTGCTACTTCTGGCCTTTGCCAGGCATGCCCAAATGTGCTGACCTACTTACAGATACTCAGTGGTGTTAATCACTTTCATGCAAGCTCTTCCCTCCCAGCAATGCCTTCCCCCACTTTACCCAGCTAGCTTCTATTCATCCTTCAAAACTCACTTCAAGCCAGGCACTGTGGAACATGCCTATAATCCCAGCAGCTCAGGAGGCAGGAGAATTAGGAGTTCAAAGCCGGCCTCAGAAACTTCGTGAGACCCTAAGCAACTCAGCAAGACCCTGTCTCTAAATAAAATATAAAAAAGGGCTGGGGATGTGGCTCAGTGGTAAAGTGCCCCTGGGTTCAATCCCTGGTACCAACCAACAAATATGTTACGTTAGCCTTATACATAATCTGCTCAAGATTACACAAGTAAGAGCCAGGACTTGAACACAGTTCCACAATATCTCCCTAATCACCTTGCTTCTTCAGTGTCAGGGAATGCAACTTTGACTACAGTTTTGTTTTGTTTTAAAAAACAACAGCATCCTTCCTCCAAGCATTTTCTGTTGGTCAATGATCCCCTTTCTATTTTTTTATTTTGAAGTAGGGTCTCACTAAGTTGCCTAAGACCTAAATTGTTGAGGTTGGCCTTAAATTTGCAATCCTACTGCCTCAGCCTTCTGAGTCGCTGGGATTAGTATGTGAGACGCCCACCTCAATTTACCCTACACAGGTCATCATGATTTCCCTTTCAAATAAATAACTGGATCAACTCATTTCTTGAAAACAGCAAAAAAAAAAAAAAAAAGAAGAAGAAGAAAGAAAATGGCTAAACACAGACCTGTTTTTAAATCACTCACTATTTGAAGGAAGATTCTTACAAGAGTCAAGTTTTATGGGGAAAAAAAAGTTTGTGAAATAATTCAAGGAATACAGTTCACCTAAGCCATCCTTCTTCTTTGTAAATACTATCAAGGGAATAAGGAAGCTTCAATTACTGGCACATTTTGTCCTACTTGTGTCACTGTTACTCATTTTCATTTTAATACTTTTCCTGGTAACCTAATTGCATCAGTTCCCAAGAAAGTTGTTTTAAACAGGATCTGAGAGACATCACTATCTTCATAGTGGTAGAAGATAACATAATTATAGAAACATTTGTTATAGCCAAATCTCATTTAAAGATACAGAAAAATACCATTAAGTGGAGTATGGCAAAAGACTACTTCTTGGATCCCATTTACACTCAGTGAAACACTGTGGCCCCTTATAAAACTTGCATGATTAGGTTAGTGTCATAAGGGCACAGGTGTGTGGAGACCTCTCTCAGGTTTGAGAGACTAGAAGAGCTGTGTGATGGCCAAGTATGTGGGTTATCTTAAAATATACACTATTAATCAGGCTCTCACTTCTGGGCCTCTTAGGTACCTACCTACCTACTCATCAAGGTTCAGATCTTGACAATATCTGGTTTTCATCCCTACAACACCCTTGTGCATAAAATTCTGACTGAGCACCTCAAACCTCAAGGTTCTCACCCTAGTATGCCAACAATCAGCAGTCTAACACACAAGTCACACCTACTATGAATCCCATGCTAAAATGAGAGATGTGAAAATGCCTCAAAAGGCTGAAACCACAAAGCAAACTGGAAGATATTAAGTGTCGAATGCATCCATATATTCAAAGGTTATGAAATGTGGACCAGGCCAGAGGTATACATGTATATAAAGACAGGTCTATGTGGGGGTAAGAAAGCTGAAGAAGGCCTGCTCAGGACTATCTGTGTGGAAGCAGCTTGTTTTAGATTTTTTCCTGTTTTTCCCTTGGTCCTTCCCAGTCTCTGATCCCTGTTGCTTGTTCATTCCTTATAGCCAACAGGAGAGGGCTATAATCACTGAACCTAAAACAAAGTTTCAGGTATAGTTCATTCAGACATTACTCATGCTCCACAGAAAATTGAGGACAACCAATGGAAAAATACACATAAAACAAATTATAGCTAACTTTTTCTGTATGCAGGCTGAACTGTGGTTTAACTTTTGCTTTCTTGAAGCGACTGGCTCCATTATATTACCCTACTGTGATGCACCAGGACTCTCTGAACCCTTCCCTACTTTGACCTTCAAATGGAATACACAGGGAATAGTTACTAACAATCTATTTCTCTAACACATATGTAATTTGATAATGCTAAAGAAGAGCACTCATTATAATCATACCACAATGATTTATGTGTGTGTATGTATGTGTGTGTGTGTTTGTGTGTTTGTGTGTGTGTGTGTGTGTATAGGAACATTTTGGTTTACACAACATTTTCACAAGCATCATTTTATGTGGTCTTTACAACAGCCTACTGAGGATAGCAATAATAGCAATTTGCATACATTATTTTATAGTAATTTGCATTTTATAGGTAAAGGCAGAGAAGCTCAGGGATGTAAAGATCTCTCCCAGGTAAACAATATATGAAAGACCTGGGAATTCTGACATCTAACCTCCCCTCACCCTTTTTGTTTTTTTGTGGTACTGAGCACTGAACCCAGAGGCATTCTATCACTAACTGATCTGTATCTATATCCCCAGTCCCTTTTTACTTTGAGACAGGGTTTTGCTAAGTTTACCAGGCTGGCCTCCAACTTGGAATCTTCCTGCTTTAGCCTCTAGAGTTGCTGGGATTACAGGCATGTGTCACTGCTGCAGAAGTCTTTTTTTATCATCTTTTAATCTTTTTGATACTGGAGAGTGAACAGAGGGCACTTTACCACTGAGCTATATCCCCACCCCTATTTATTTTGTATTCTGAAACAGGGCTTCACTAAGTTGCTGAGACTAGCCTCAACTTTTTGACTCTCCTATCTCAGCCTCCCAAATCACTGGGTTTATAGGCATGTGCCACCATGCCCAGCTAGAAGTCTTTTTGAAAAGGTAGTTAATGTGGGCTGGGAGTGTACTCAGTAGTGGACTACTTGTTGTGTGAGGCCCTGGACTTAGCCCCCAGCACCATAAATAAGCAAAATAAATAGCAGTTAATATTTACTTAGAAAATGACTCAGTAATTAAAATGTTCAAGTTCTATTTCCTGCTATAAATTACAAAATCTTTAACAAGCAATAAATATTTAGGACTCACATATTTTGTTTGGTTTTTACAGTGCTGGGGATTGAAGCCCCTAACACAGGCTAGGCAAGTACTCTTATCACTGAGCTACATCCCCAGCCTGAAGAATGATATATTTTTAAACATTCCTCTGCCTAACTGAAGATAGAATCAAAGATATTTATTCATATTTCTCAACTAATCACAATGTTAGAAAATCTTTTCTGTACTGGGGATTGAACCAGGGGTGCTTTACCACTAAGCTAAGTTCCCAGCCTTTTATTTTTTTATTTTGCAAAAGGGTCTCACTAAGTTGCTTAGAGCCTTGCTAAATTGCTGAGGCTGGCCTTGAACTTGCAATCCTCCTGCTTCAGTATTCCAAATCACTGAGATTACAGGGGTACACCATGGCATCCAGCCAAATGTTAGAAATATTGATCCAACCAAGTGGCTATGTATCTGTATACTGATTTTGCTCTAGATAATGGGGTTCTATCTAATTATCAAATTTCCTTAATGCAAAGAAAACCAACTACTGTGAGACTAAATCTATATAAAGCTTGGGGAACAGAAAAAAAAAAGAGCAAGTAGGTTAAGAATCTGGGAGAAACAAGGAACAGGAAACAAGAATCTGGGAGAAACACTAACCATGCATCTTCCAGAATCACCCAGTTCTTTAATTCTCATGAATATAATCTTAAATGAGCAGAGGTGGCATATGCCTGTAATTCCAGGGGCTCAGGAGGCTGAGGCAGGAGGATCAGTGAATTCAAAGCCAGCCTTCGCAAAAACCAGGCACTAAGCAACTCAGTGAACCCTGTCTCTAAATAAAATATAAAAAAAGGCTGGGGATATGGCTTAGTGGTTGAGTGTCCCGAAGTTCAATCCCGGATTCAAAAAAAAAAAAAAAAAAGAATCTAAATTAAACCAGGGGCAGTGGCGCATGTCTATAATCCCAGTGACTCAGGAGACTGAGGCAAGAGGACTGCAAATTCAAAGCCAGCAATTTAGCAAGACTCTGTCTCAAAATTAAAATAAAATGGGCTGGATATGGCTCAGTGGTTAAGCACCCATCTGGATTTTAATCCCTAGTACCAAAAAAGATTAAAAAAAAAACCCAATGTCATAAGATCAAACTTAATATATTTTACCTCTAGTGCCAAAGCAGTCTTGTCATAAGCACAGGGTACTCTTTTCTGGATTGCTTTTGCAAAGACAGGTCCATTCTGTGTGGATGGCAAAGGGTTGATCGCTGCCCCAGAAGTACTGGAAACTGCAGGTAGAGGAGTTGTGGTCTGAGGTTGAGCATATGCATGAGCAGGTTCTGGGATGCCATAACTGTTGGAATTCCTATTTCCATGCTTTCCATGTGGTGAGGATCTCACGAGCTTTTCAACATAGGGGACAGGAATCATCCCAACCCGGCCATCCTTGTTCCGGGCACTCCACCACTGTTCTTCAGGCTTTTCTATTATCACCAGGATCTCACCCTTTTTAAAGGGCAGGTCTTCGGCATCATTCCCAGGAAAATCATATAGAGTTCGTACATATTCCAGATTTTCTTCTGCTGTAGGCAGGTTGGGTGCTGAGACAGATCCCATTGGCGGGCTTGGATACCTTGAGAGAGAGAGAGAGAGAGAGAGAAAATCACTGTAGACAAAAATCTTACTCTATACTAGTGTCTGTCAAATTTAATAAGCCACTCTTCTTTGTAATGAGTAATTCCCTCTCTAAAGTCACAGTAGTTAAGAAGGTTCTGTTATATTGTACTTTCTATAGTCTTTATTATAATGAAAGTTAATATCCTGAATATGGCTTTTCAAATTACATGTCATAAGCATACACATACAAACTCTATTTTATAAGAACCTTTTGTTCACATCATGTATAACCACAAGAATGGGATCCTAATTAGAATAAGTTATACTCCATGTATATGTAATTATGTAAAAATATACTTCATTGTCACAACCATCACATACTCTTCCTCCCAGCTCTAATCTAATGGCTCACATCCTGCACACTTCCCTGGACACACAAAAAGATGATGACAAAGGCCTCTGTCTCCAGAAAAGAGTTTATATGCTTTTCAAATTAAAAAAAGTAACCTACACATCCCATCTTGTAGAAGAATTATCACCTAGCCCGGCATGGTAGCATATGCCTGTAATTCCAGTGGCTTGGGAGGCTGAGGCAGGAGGACTGCGAGTTCAAAACCAGCCTCAGCCAAAGCAAGGACTAAGCAGCTCAGGGGCTGAGTGCCCGAGTTCAATCCTCGAAACAAAACAAAAAAGGAATTATCACCTAACCTTTATTTATTAATTTATTTATTTTTAGAGAGAGAGAGAGAGAGAATTTTTTTAATATTTATTTTTTAGTTTTCAGCAGACACAACATCTTTGTTTGTATGTGGTGCTGAGGATTGAACCCGGGCCGCACGCATGCCAGGCGAGCCCGCTACAGCTTGAGCCACATCCCCAGCATCTAATCTTTATTTTTTAAAAATATTTTTTAGTTGTAGATGGACACAATACCTTTATTTTGTTTATTTAGTTTTTTTTTTTTTTAATGTGGTGCTGGGGATTGAACCCACTGCCTCAAACGCATGCTAGGCACGTGCTCTATCACTGAGCCACAACCCCAGCCCATCATCTAATCTTTAAAACGAACACCTGTGCCAGGTGTGGTGGCACATGCCTGTAGTCCCAGCTACATGGGAGTCTGAGACCGGAGGATCACTTCAGCTCAGAAATTTGACCAGGCTGATCAACATAGTGAAAACCTGACACAAACAACAAAACAAAACAAAATGAAGTTTCACTGCAAAATTCACAAGCCAAGAATTCTTAGGTAAGCATTAGTCCACAAGCACCACCACCTTTACTTGGCTTACAGATTCAACATGTACATATTTGTTGAATGCCTTGTAGAAAGCACTCCCAGAGTCAACTACAAAAGCAAAGTACCAGCTGGGGATGTAGTTCAGTGACAAAAGTGCAACCACAGTTGATCACCAGCACTGTCCATCCTTCCCCCCCAAAGAGAGGGTCATGGAAAGGAGAGGCAAGAGAGAGAAACAAACCTGTAGTTTCTGCCCCAAGGAAACTTCAATTATCCTTCCCATCTTCTCCGTTCCCAAACTCCAACTGGCCCAGTTTATAGCTTTCTTAAAATAGAGTTCTGTATATACCTGTGGTTTATCTGCCTAATATCACAGCACAGATATCTCCACACATTTCTGGTCTTCATCATGATCACATTCCATTCTGTGGGCCTACTCAATGAAGCATCCAAGAGTATTTAGTTTTCCTAATTCTCCCTATTTAACTATAAATGTTACAAACCCTTTTGTACATTATTTTATTTTTTCTTTCCTTTTATTTCTTTTTTAATATTTATTTTTTTAGGTAAAGATGGACACAACACAATGCCTTTATTTTTATGTGGTGCTGAGGATTGAACCCAGGTCCTCCCCATGCTAGGTGAGCGCTCTACAGCTGAGCCACAATCCTAGCCCCTTATTTCTCTTTTTTGGTACTGGGGATCAAACCCACACAGCCTCAGGCATGCTAACCAGGCAGTCTGCCACTGAACTATACCCCAAGTACTGGGCATTATTTTCCCTATACCTTTTGTAAATCCCAGATTCTGGAAACTCAAATTACCAGATTAAATAAGAACAGTTGTAGACAAGATGGAACATGCCTATAAGTCCCAGCAAATTGGGAGGCTGAGGCAGGAGAATCCCTTAGCAACTCAGGGAGACACTGTCCCAAAATAAAAAATTAAAGACTGGGGGATGTGGCTCAAATTACACATCATGTGCGCGCACAAACACACACACACACACACACACACACACACACACGCTCTGTTATAAGCTTTTATTCACATCATGTACAACCACCTTTGGGTTCAATCCCCAGTTTGGTACATAATGCCACACTCTCTCCAAAAAAGCGGCCTTCACAATGTGCAAAACTTACATATTTATTTATTTATTTCTTCCTTTCTTTTTGTAGATATACAGAATGCCTTTATTTTATTTGTTTATTTTTATGTGGTGCTGAGGATTGAACCCAGTGCCTCACGCATGCCAGGCAAGCGCTCTGCCACTGAGCTACAGCCTCAGCACCCAAAACTTACATCATTCTTTAATGCAAAAACTAGTTTTACAAGCACCTCAAAGGCCTTGTTTCTTATTAATCAAGGGTCCACTACTTAATATCAGTCCATGGAAAAAATGGATAGCACAAGTAGTAACAGTAGCAATAGTAAAAAGAGTTAATATTTATTATCTTTGCCAGGCACTATTTGCAGCCTTTGAAGACATTATTTGATCCTTGCAGCAATCCTGGTAGGTAGATTTTTTTTTTTTTTTGGGGGGGTACTGGGGATTGAACTCAGGGGAACGTGACCACTGAGTATCATCCCCAGCCCTATTTTGTATTTTATTTAGAGACAGGGTCTCCTGAGTTTTCTAGTGCCTCACCGTTACTGAAGCTGGCTTTGAACCCATGATCCTCCTGCCTCAGTCTCCCGGCCCTGTTATCCCCATTTTACAGATGAGAAAGCCAAAGCAGAGGTTAGATTTGTACCCAGGCAGTCTGATTCTAGAGTCCTCATTTTTTTTTTAATAATTTTTTTTTTAAGTTATAGATGGACACAATACTTTTGTATTTTTATGTGGTGCTAAGGATAGGACCAAGTGCCTCACATGTACAAGGCAAGCACTCTACCACTACCATCAGTGGTAGTCCCTAGAGTCCTCACTCCTAACCAAACTACTACTACATCTTCTTCCTCTTCTTCTTTTTTTTTTTTTAATATTTTAGTTGTAGATGGACATAATACCTTTTTTTTCTTTTTTAATGTGGTGGTGAGAGTTGAACCCAGTGCCTCACATGTGCTAGGCAAATGCTCTACCACTGAGCTACAATCCTAGCCTGACAAACTACTTCTTTCAGGTGCATGAGAATTTATGCCATAATGTATGTGAAATATTCCCAACAATTCCTAACTAGCACATATACAGGCACACCCAGAAAGCACATCCCTCTTCCTATTTCAAGAGCCACAAAGTCTGTGAAATTTGTTGAGTATCACAGATTACAGACAATTTACTACAGGAACAATTAGCTCTATCTCAGAACTTATCCAAGGATATTTTATTATAATTAATTTGTACAGGTAGAAACAGTTCAGGCTGCAGATGTAGCTTAGAGGTAAAAGTGCTTGCCTAGCAAGCACGAGGTCTTAGGTTCAATCCCCAGCACTGTCAACAACAAAGCAAAACCCCCACAAAAACAGTACTGTGAGCAGGGCACAGTGGTGCATGTGTATAATCCCAGGGACTCAGGAGGCTGAAGTAAAAACGTAAGTTTGAGGCCAGCCTTAACAACTTAGTGAGGACCTAAGCAATTTGGTTATATCCTTTCTCAAAATAAAAAGTAAAAGGATAGAAGATGTAACTCAGCCTCCCCGACCCCAAAAAAGAAGTTCTAAACACAGATCAATATTACAGCTTCAGTGGGGACTAATCAACTAATAAAATCTATTTGCCTAGTTATTCACTGGTCCTACTACGTGCTGACTTGAAACCAAGTCTTGATCTCAAAAGACAATTTAGTGCACAGTAGCACATGCCTATCATCAATCCCAGCAACTCCAAAGACTGAGGCAAGAGTATCACAAGTTCAAGGCCAGCCTCAGCAACTAAGTGAGCTCCTATCTCAAAATAAAAAGGGCTGAGGATGTAGCTCAGTGGTAAAGTTCCCCTGGGTTCAATCTTTAGTACTAAAAAGAAGATAATTCAACAGAAGTAGGGCTGGAAGGAAAAGAAAAGACCTAGGATATCATGATAGAAGTCAACAGAATCCAGGGGTCCTCAAGTTTTTTGCTAAGGGCCAGGAGAACCAAGGAAGGAGGTGATGCACAAAAAAGACTAGCCCCACCCTAAAGTTGAAAGTCATTGAAGAGGGAATTATGTATTTAGTTCTGCATTAGAAATAAACCTGAGTCCCAAAGGTTCAAATGTTCCTTTCTCGGTCCCCCTACAGACCACAAAGCACACTGCTGTTTCTCACAGGCACAGAGCAAGAGCTCTGCTGGCCCAGGCTTTCTAAAGGTCGAAAAACTTCTGTGAAAGACCATATGGTACATATTCTGGGCTTTGCAGACTATGTGTGTCCTTGCCACATATTCTTTTTCTTTTTAAATAATCCTTTAAAAAAAATAGGGGCTGAAGTTGGGCTCAGTGGTGGAGCGCTTGCCTAGCATGTGAAAAGCACTGGGTTCGATTCTCAGCACCATATATAAATAAATAAAGGTCCATTGACAACTAAAAAGTATTAAAAATAATAATAATAACCACTACCAACAATAAAAAATTAAATAATAATAATAATAATAACCACTGGGTGTGGTGGCACACGCTTATAATTCCAGTGCCCATAAGGCTGAGGCAGGAGAATTGAAAGTTTGAGTTCAGCCTGAGCAATTTAGCAAGACCCTTTCTCAAAATAAGAAATAAAAAGGGCCGGGGATGTTGCTCAGTGGTAGAGCACTTGTCTTGTGTGTACAAACACTGGGTTTGATTCCAGCACTGCAAATAAATA